GATACACAAAAACATAATACTTCCTGAAGAACTGACATCAACTGAAGCACAGTTGAAGTAGAAGGATAAGTTGTCCCGTTCATTGCTCCCAGGTTTTCCATGGTGGTATAGCTTTAATCGATTCATGTTTACGTAAGTATTTCTCAGCCTGTGCATATGTGATACAAACGTTTTTCAAAATGCTCATACCCATCTGAGTTTACATGTTTTCTATAACTAGATGTGTTAGGGAATAAATTTAAGATTTTTCTAATGGAAATGACACATGAACGATCTCTGTCTTTAATAAAGCATATCTATTTCCATAACATTTGTTACAACATTGCTAAGGAAAATCGAATTGGTCAGTGATTTTCATTACAAGGTAATATCAGTTAGAAAATTACTCAAATTATAGTGAACTGAATTATTGTGTAAACCCGGTCCAAAATTCTTCTCACTAATGCATATTCAACACACTACACAGTTCCGAGTCCATGATCTTCAGAAAACAAGCAAGCTGAATGAGAATCGTTCATCGAGTTGAAATCTAATGGAAAACATTTTCAGATTCATTCAATTTGTGACTGGGCATAATTCCATTCAATATCCTCTGTAAATTATTCTCTCACTTTCAACACATCAGACTGATGATATGACTTACCATATAGTGGATGAACTTATTTCAGATATTCAGAATTTATTATTTACATATATACTCTAATTTTATGATAAAACATAATTTAGTACTAAAAAACGGAATTTGTAAATGAAATCCTCTAACTATTTCATTCTATAAATTGGTAACGATGTATGTGTGTTCTTGTAAAACCTTTATCTACTCAGTTACTTATGCAACCATGGTTATCTTGCCTGACCTTAAACAAACTATTTCCATCATTTCAAGAGGTTTGCATTTAGAATACTCAAAATTACTTAACGACGTAGCAACAATTAATTCTAACAAATCGATAATGGTAATCGTATTTTTCGTAATTTATAAAATCCAGTGTTATTGTATGATGACATATTTTTCCAAAACTGAAACATTTTATTTTTACTAAATTGAATGAACTAATTGTAAGGAAGTACTGATTTTTAAACAAAACACAAAAAGAACGTATTCAGTTCCATTTTCTATTCTTAACTTTATAGCAAACAAGTATGTCCATTGTTAATAGCTACAAGTGTAATTGTTAAAAAGTTCCATGTAGTCGGTAAAATCTTCCCTAAACAAATAACTTAGCATTCGTTTGTATAATAAAATACCGGGACAAAATTTAATAAGCGTAAGTTGAACGACGCATCATAATTAATCAATGCTCTCAATAGTGATACAACTACAATTTGAGACCCTGGCACTACCACTTATGAGTTGTGCTTGGTAGAAGTCTAGCGCTCTAGAATATGGCTGCTTCTGCACCCTAGACTGCCCTAAACATACTTATTGTACAGGAAATAACTAAATTTTAAGTATCTTTACCGGATAGAAGTTGCATACTGTATTTGGACCTGCATATCACTCAAGAGTAACAGAATACTATATACATACCAAGATTTCAGGTATTTTGTGGAAAAGCATTTTTATTCTCAACCCATGCAATTCAAATATATAGACTTAAGGGATAAATATGTTTTATAATTTTCAAGCAATTTCACCTAAGTTGTCTTTAGTGAAACATAAAATGCGAAGAAATCATAAATAATATTTGGAATCTAATATTTTAAAAGCTGATTAACCGATGTTAACGATTCACCATTTGAAAGAGTAAAACCTTAGTATCGTACTGCTTACGATTGTCATTATGAAAGGCTATCAGGACAGACTAATTAAATGGAACAGTACACAACATAAAAATATATTTGTTTAAACTGTGCATCTTCACAAATTTCTAAAGTATATTCTTTAGTATAAAGTAATTTTATGCTATGTATTTTAATTAGGAACCAAGAATCTCATAAATTATTATATTTTTATATCAACTACATGAAAATATGCTACTGTCAAATACTTCAGAAAAATCCGCTCATTGATATGCATCATGTTAGAATAATTGGGTTTATTATTAGAAAGCAACTGATAAAAGTATATCTCAAAACTTTAAGTATTATTCACTTGGTGTTGTTTGCTTGTATCTTCCCATTGTTGTCCAGGCCTGTAACTGATCAGTCTCTTATTGGTATATGTGCATCCTGTGTGGATTGGATGGTGGCTAGAAGTGGAATCCAGAATGCATGTTTCGTCCCGTTTTGGACCCGTCAGCTGGATGTACCTGCATCGCAGATTTGATGTTCACTCCGGGACGAGTTCAAAATGGGACGAAGGGTGAGTCCAGGATTAGTTTTGATATAACTAAGCTATTATCATGTTTTATTCTAACAATAATGGAATATCTCAACAAATACATGTCAGTCTTATCCCCATTTGCTTTATAAATCAGGAAGTTAGTATAATCGACAATAAAGTATGAATTTACCAATTGGATTGGGTGAGGATCGCTCTTTACCACTCCAATTTTAAGCAGACTCCTGAATTCAGACTCACGTGGTTTAATTACTATAATACTATAATATTCCTAAATTCGATCCAATATAGGATCGTGGGTAAACATTCATGAGATATCTCAAAATCGAATTAATCAATTGTTCATTCCCTGCAGCTTCTTATTTATTTTCTAGCTGACAACACTTTGTAATGCAAAAAATATTTCCAAAAAAGTTGAATTAAAGAATAAACAAATCAATGTAAACCTAATTAGAAATTATATTCATACTTTATCATTTATAATATCAAAAGCTTCTACGTGTTGATAAAGATACAAACAATATAATCAGAATGGAGCAGAAGCTATAAAAAGAAACCATTCATATATGGAGAAAGAAAAATAAACAAAGCTAGGATGTATACAAGAGGAAAAATTTGTATAACTTATCTTTATAGTGAGGAAACTAGAGACAAATAAAAACATAAAGCCAATTATATACGTCAGTCAATATATATGTAATAGAAACAAGCACACTAAACATACAAACAAAGATAAATTCGAACTAATGAAATGAGTTATGATATCAGTCATTTATTCAATTTAAAATAATAGACTGATTTCTATACATAGTTCATACAAAAGCCCAGTAAAACGTCTCACGATTCCTTAAATTTATTTTGTTCTTTTTGTTAAAAGAAGTTAACGAAAGACATTCTGGACATAGAATAGTTACACAATAAATATTATTCTTTAAAAGTCAGTCAATAATTGTCCTCATTTTATTCACATAAGAAAATTATTTAAAAGACAAAGTTAACGATGAGAAACAAACAATACATTCATATTTTTTGGTGAGTACACTCTTCTTTCATTGTTTCTTTTTAATGCTGAACTGTTCAGTGTTGCATTGAAGAAGCTGAGCTGAAATATTTAGGTCGAAGTTAACAAATATGTTTGGTGTGAACATGTAGAAAAACAGAAATAAAAACATACTATATTACAGAGATTCATAATTGAAACTAATCATTATCATTATTTGTATTCATCACTCATAACAAAGATAAAAGTAAAGAGACGTCACAACGGCAATGTGCTGGACAAACTAAACTACAAACGAGAGGATGTATGGGATAAAAATATCAATACAGTAAAATTAGTAAAATGAAAGAGAAAAATTAATAATAAGTACTGTAGTGTCATGAATTATAGTTGAGACCAACTGGCATGAAATAAAACAGTAAAAACATTAAACGAAGTATAGATGCTGACTTTTTTGTTGTTCTTTTTGTATTATTTTTGCGGTGAATTTTTAGTTTGGTTTAGAATATTTTCAACTTGTTCAGGTATCATATATTCAGTTTGTTGTAAAGGTAACTGATATAAAAGAGGATCTTTAAGACGACGTAGTTCTGATTTCAAATGAGCTAGTTCGTCACGTAATTCATTGTAACGCTGTACGTCAAATGATGATTTATCAGCTGATTTATAAAAGCTTTTAAGATATTCACGATCAAATACTTGGGGAAGTGTGTAATCCTGTGATAAACGGTTTAGATTTAAGAAGAAAAATCAAAGAAATTATTGCATCATTAAGAAGTGAGAAAGTTGTATTGTGAAACTTTCAAATGAAAACAGACTAAGTTTTATTAGTTTTATACAGATTGTTTTGTAATACCATAAGAGTATTTTCAACATTACAAGCATGTTAGATAAATGTAGGTGATTCAATCAACACATTTAACCAGATACCGAGAGTAATAATAATCATCTATCAATTCTTGATAGAATTTTCGAATAGTAACTTTTTATCGCAAAGTTTAGATATAAGATGGTTAGAAATAGTCAGAAGAAAACCTTGGATCTTAGTTTATTGTTGTTTTGAGTTCACCGGCAAGGTGTACCTTTAATACTGAAGGAATTTATGCTTCCTGTTGGATTTGACCTCGTGCCACTCAGTTTCATAATCAGAGAATTTACAAACGAGTTACTCAGGCGTCGAATGACCTTCAGTCATACTATGATATTTACAATTGGGTAATCATGAAGTACCGACCAATTTCCTGTTTGTCTCGTCTTTAGACTTTTCGCATAGAAATTCAATAATCAATGATTCGTAAGTCAGAATAAATTTTTGGTAGATTGAATGACTGTGTGAAGATCTTGTATCACTGCATACAAATTTTATTACAACATAAGGAATATTAAAAACCACCGGACGGCTGTTTTATCTTAAAAATTATTCAGTAATGTGTACTATTGCACAGTCGAGTACGCAACATTCAGATATCAGAAAAAGATTGAAATAACCATATATTTCAATATAAATTTGAACTAAAATAAAGTAAATGTACCAAACATTTAAATTAACTATTCTTATATTGTTATTGCTTCATTTTAGACCTTGTTCATCAGAGCAGTTATTTTTTCGAGATTTAGAATGATTAGTGGATTTGATTGTTAATTCTTAATACGACAAATCGATATATCTCTTCGAGATGTTTACATTTTACATTTCAAATGTTACACTCATAAACGTTTGCATGACTAATGAAATATTGTTTGATTAACACCTACGGAAAATTCACTCGTTTAATTATCTATGGTACACAAAAAGTGTATGTCAGTTTCGAAAAAATAAATGTCTTAAAACAAAAAATTGATCAGTTGTGAAAATGTATTTCACTTAACTAACGAATATTTTTGACAAAAAATAAATATACACATACATAAATACTTGTTATGCTATAATACTTAAGACAATGTCATGTGCTCAATTAAAACAATGAATTAATGAATTCAGGAAAGCATTGAAAATGAATTATTTAATAATCTACGAATGAAAAGGAAGAATAACTGTATTGTGTAACGATAAACAATTGATACACCCTGCGGACTGTTGAATCGACATTAAGTAAAGTTTTACTTTCAATTTATTGTATTGTAAACCAACAGAAATTACTACGCATGGTTCCCGTCCACCTGAGCATTTAGTAAACAAATGTATCCTTAAAGGCATGAAAGAATAACCATACATTATCTACTTTTTACGATTATATTCAAAATACCCACTTTTTTCAGGTAAAAAAAGTACACTAATCACAATCATCCATCATCAACATGGAGCCTGGCGCAGATGTATGCTGGCTCAACGAGATGAAATTGACAGGATTCCCAACAAAAGTGATCGCAAGAATCACAATGGTGCATTCAAACTAACCTGTCGTGTAATCACATAATAGGCATACATAGCCATACTAGTTCCATAACCAACAAAATATGTCACGGGTTCCATAATATCCCATGAATATTCCCACCATGTTAATCTTGCCAGTAATCCAAATTGTATACCCATTGCACCTAATCCAAGCCAAGTAAGCCAACGTGTTCGCTGTGCTGCTTGTACAGCAATGACTGACTTTTTCTAAATCAGAAATTATTAAAAGATTAACGCAAGGAAAAAATGCTACATAACATACTAATTGTCAAACTTTGAGAACCTTTCACATGTGATGCTTAATATGGCTAGTTGATTTATTTGAGTTAAGATAAAATCCATATCAGTTTACCTCAGACAACTTGATAATCCTAATTCACTGTTTTCTGCTGAAGTACGTATTTCAACGAGAATTGAGTTCGATTCTTGATTGGAAAAAAGTGTTTATAAAAAATACGCTAGAGGAAGCTAAACCTTTTTTTAAATGTACCCTAAGGGTAACAATAAAATCAACGATTTACTCAGAAAATTACTCACTTGTTTGCTTTAGACAGAATAATTTTTCAATCTTCTTCGAATTGAATAGTTAGAGGAATGGGTAGTATATATATATATATATATATATATATATATATATATATATATATATATATATATACCGTTGATGTTTACGCTGACTTGAATGCAACATGTACCAGTAGAAAGTCACAACATTATCCAAAAGGGTGTTCAGTCATGATAAACACCAATTTGTCCAATATGTATGATATTCACTAGTTGTAACGATTAAAATTTTCCTTTCTCAAAATTTAAGACAACGGGAAAACTCAAACCTTTACATCTGGCAAACTCATAGTTTATTTTCCCACATTATGAATGAGAATTCATAATAAATCATTCAATATCGTTGTTACTGATAGTTAGAAAAGAGAAAAAAGCGATTTCTGTCAGTGGGATCGAAAGAGGATGTTCACTTTATGTCATAATTTAACTATCTGATAAATCAGTTTGTAAGAAAGATAACTCCGATTTTCTTATTGTTCTTCTAAAGAAGCTGGGACCAGACTGCCAAACGGAATGCTAAATTTTTTAAATTCCAACCATTGAGAATTTTACTAATGCAATTTTAATTTTTGATAGCCGGTAAAAATGGCACGGAAAACTTATTTTTCCCTCGGAATAAACACTGTTTGTCCGGAGATACTTGTCAAATAAAAGGACTTTTTCAAGAATAGAGTCTTTTTCCAAAAATCACTACACAAAAATATAATTGATAAGTTTTCCCTCAAAAAGGGCACATTTTTCCCATCCGATTGAAAGTTTTCTCAAACATGGAATAACAGTTTTAAATAGATGAAGGAGAAGAAAACTGCATTAGAGTAATACTTAGTGAATTTATGAACAGTTCTAACTAAATAATTACAGAAAGGATGGGAAACGCAAATTGTGTTGCCTAACTAGGTTTTATCGGTATTCAGATAATAAACATTGAACATAGTATACGTATTATGCATCAGTCCAGGTTTCCATGCTTCCCATCAAAACAGAGAGAAGAATTTAGCATAATGTAAAGCGAAGAAGTCAAACAAATGAGTCCAACAGCAGTTGAAAAATAAGCATATAGCCTAAATAGCTCCAAAAGGACGAATAGAATTAGGGAATTAAAGTATGGAATAATACTATGTCCAAAGCCCAGGAGGAATCTGGAAAATAAATACATCTGAGTCATTGCGACCGATTTCAAGAGACATCACCTAAGATTTTTAAACATAGATTCTGATTGTGTGACAAACTTCAGTGAAAAAGACCATACCTCCATACACGCCTCAATCTACCAGTCAGTCATTCAGCAGACTGGTGTTATCTCTTAGTCTGCCCTCTCTAAATCAGCATACTTGTTAGATATCTCAGAAACAATAGAGGGTTAAGGTTATATCCTATTTTGATATTTTCACTGACAAATAATACTTTCAGGTTACTAATACCTGTTAATCTTACATTACTTAAATTGAAGTTAAAATTTAAGTGATAATACTAAGATAGCAGTACACAATAAATCCTACATCTTGATCTATTATGCATAAAGACATTTATACACATGCATAGACTACATAAGACGTAATGTTTATTCCACTATGATTCTTAAAACTACTTCTAGTACAGTTATTTAATCCAAATTAATTGGTATACCTTTTCAAATGGTTCCAATTGCAGATTCACATCTTCTATACATTTCTCAAGTTGTTGTTGCTTTTGTGCATAAAATTCATCAACATGAATGGCATTGGCAAGTTTTGAGATTAGTTCTCGAACGTTTGCTAAATCTTTCGGCAATGCAGTAAACTGGGAGGCTGTGGAGAAAAAATCAGAATTTGTTAGAAGTGCAGTAAATAAGGTAATCATTTATGATAAATAGACATTTAGAATTCCTGAAAAACATCAAGTATGTACACTTAACGATTACTGACAAACAACATCTATAATACGGGCTTCATAGGCCTTTTATAATATCAAAAGTGATTGTGATTAAAAATATTACACCTAGTGTAAGGCCTTCTTTGTATGCATGTGTGTAGTCCCACCATGTGTACCCTACAATTGACAATAACGCTTTATTTCATTTAAAAGGTAAGGTAGCTGTTCTCAATATTTTGGTTTAGTGAGCATTTTGTTCATTTTGGTTTTAGAGAATATTATTATTATTCATTTTACTTACCATTGTTTTTTCAATGTATTGCTTTATTTGTATCGTTTTTACTGATTGGTTTAATTTTGTTTTACTTTATATTTATTGGCTTCCATTTTCATTATCTGTTTGCCATTAAGTTGATGAATTTGATCTATCCATTGTGGATAGAACTAAGTTTCTTACTTAACAAAAACGTTTTGTTTTGTTTGAAAATTTGACTGTACTAATTTTCGGGGTACAGAATACCGTTCTCTGCTTGATAGGAAACTTATACTCACTGTTCATTTGATTCTCCCAAATGTACTAGGTATTAGATAGAATGGTATATCTGCAGTATAAAAACTGTCTAGGTATCCCTGTAAATTCTACATATTATGTGTAACTCTGTTTAGTTAGTACCGCTGTTATAACTGAATAGTTATAGCTTAATTTACTGCCAGATTTCAGCATGTGACGAACCAATGGTAGGAGATATACAGAATGTATCGCAATTTTAGTAATTCTGGTTCTACACCTACTTCCACCCCGAGAAGTGTAATCGAACTCATCATGAATACCTATAATGAATATGTGTTGTTCTTAAAAAGTAGTTACAGCAAGACGCTGATTTACATATTTTTTAGAAACGGTTTTGTAAATATGAATAAAACTTAGGGATTTCTTATGCTTACGGGGATAAAAACACTTTTCATATGCATTTATTGAAACTGACAATACGTCACTGTCAGAACTATTTTTAACCGTTTCAAATTAAATAAAAGTTTTAGTGTATTCGTGATTGAACAAGGTCAAACCATGAGTCAATAATTTCAAGTTTGAAATTATGATGGACAGCTATTCTTTTATATTTAACTGATTCATATATTTCGCTGAAAAACCTTTATAGTCAAGTTAGTTGCTTCAATTAGCCAATATAATATCGGAAAATGTGATTATTAAAATTTCAATCAACTGAAAATATTAAAAAATAATGTTCAAAGTATGTGACTTAAAACAGTAATATTATAGGTGCAATGTCTAAAACTATGTTTTATTCACATGAAAATTCCATTCTAATGCATACAGTAAATTTACTCTCTGAGGGGGTTAATAATGGTGAGTATTGACCAAAAAATAAAAAGATATTTGACCAGCTGAACCTACATTATTTTTTCTAAATATCAGTTAAAAAGAAACAATGATTATGTCACACTTGAAAGTCAGCTGATGTAATATATATATGGTGTGAGTGAAATCTAAAAATATTTTATAATCACTTTATATCATCTTTTTTCTGTTTGTAAATTCAAACAAAAGAAGTTCAAGTTGCAAGACATAACTAATTGATAAGCTTCTACATGAAATAACTTATAAATCAATCTTTTTAGAAACGTACTATTATTATTTTTCACAATACTATACCGTTAAAATTTTCCCTTCAAAAAACTAATTCAAAGTTGGCATTAAAAAGTCAAAACTTTGGATTTCTTTCAGTACTTCATAATGAAAGTGATTTTTTGAGAATCATTAAAATTCCAAGTTTGAAAATGGAAACTTTATCATGTTAGATGGTTCATGCAGATAAATTCATTCTGAAGACGGTTTTCATTACGAACTAAAATCAACCAACTGAAGATCTATTGGAAGCCAGGGAGTATTGGAAAAGTGTTTCATCCGAAGGTGTAACCTCCAAGAGTATGTTATGACGACCCTAAACGTGGTTGAGTCAAGGTCTTTCAGCTCTCTTGAAGAGCACGATAATTCTAGACAACTGTGCGAAATTATAGTTATATTTTACTGTTTAGGAATACAAATTTATTAAATGTACTCTAGTTTTGTTATAACAATACATTAGTTACATACTTATTTTAGTCCATAAATTCACGTACGTTGTGATATTCACATTTCGCTTGCATAGTCACGTAGATGATGTATAGTAACCTCAAAAGACATGTCACAGCTCACTTCGTTTTCTGTTGTTCTGACAGACAGATTAAAAAAGGACAAATCATATGATTTGTCGACTATGTTGAAATACACTAACGGAAGTTAAAGATATATCACTAGTACGATAGGAGAGATAGCACCCTAACTATTTAAATTACTACCTGAATGTTTGAATTATTACTAATATGAGACGCTTTTTCGGAGTAAATAAAAAATGTGTGCTCTGAAGAAGCGTCTTCTACTAAGTCACGAGACGTCAAAAATACGATTTTTATACTGATTGGGATGTGACAGAAAGTATATTTATTATTAACTTTCTACCCAATTCTCAATTTATTTGGAACTATCTCTTGATGTTGCTCCACTGCCTTGTGGATCAGACTTTAGGTCGAAGGCTCCGGGCGTCACCCTCTAAGAAAACTACCTGCTTCGGTCTGGGTACCCGGGTAGTATCATAGCCCACACACAAATCACGTGACGTGTGTGGAGCATATGTATTCGGTTCCCCTTTGTACCAATATTTATGTGTTCAAATAAAATAAAATCATGTCCAACCTTGGCATTGATACACAATGATAAGTTAATTTCGTTAAACAGTATGATTGGTATAGTGAATTATCTTAGATATAAAAATCACAATTTGCAATCCGGAGATTTAGCTAGATTTTACCTGGTAGCACGATTCTTTTCTTCAACTGTGAATCACTTTATGTTCACATCCTTTCTTAAAATTGATACAATTAATAATCAACTGATTTATTTGATTTCCCATAAGCTGATGTGATTAAAGATACACCCCACCTCCTATTTTAACGAACCACTACCTCTCACTAAATAATAACTATCTTTTATGCGAAGTATTTATTTTATTGGTTCATATAAACAGGAAAAAATCGATGGTGGTCACGAGCTACGTACAAAACCTGTTCAATGAACGCTTTAATCCAATCAAAATGTTCAGTTATCTTGATGTATTTTGCTTGAATAAAACAACGGAATAAACGACAGTGATATTATAGCCAAATTATTGACTTTTCAAAATAAAAATAACCGATTACTAAATTATTTACATGGCAAAATAACAGAAAAATATTGCGAAATCGATTCGTTACTATTCGATTAAAATATGAACAGTTGAAAAACAAACATCACTAATTTGAACAGTTGGCTTAAATATCCTTACAGACCTGGTGAATAAAACTAAAAGAGAATATGAAATACATTAGGATACCAATGAGTTAATTTGGGACTACCAGATTCATCTTTTGTTAACTGAGATTTTTTAATGGACTCAACAGCTCGATATACTTCGGTATTACATTAGATACTAACTGTTTAAATTGACAGTGAAGATTTTGTATAGACAGTATTCATCAGCCCATTGTTTCCACTAAATAAAATAATGTTCTGAGTTAAAAGTGTTAGCAAATGAAGCCCAGAACTGGTATCCCTGCAATAATTATTCACTGGAACATATTTCAACATAGGAAAAATTATTATGCATTTGAACAATGTGTAGTAGTTGAATAAAGAGAATAAATTTTATGTAGCGATATTAAAAACGATATTGAAAATGTTAGTTTAATTTAAAAAGCGGAAACAGTCATAAAACAAAAACATATCCCCTATTTGTAAAACTAACGAATACTTTATAAACTGTATTTACTTTAAATTCTTTTGAAAACTTAAGGAAACATAAAATTCATCGTATAATTGACCACAATGTAGTTTATATGACTTATCATCAAGATCTGAGAGAATACTTTCACGAAGTTGAGCTCCGAGCATTATAGCATTGACTTGTAATGTTTTATGGGATCTTTCCTTTTATGAGACACACATTACCATTGAGATATTTACGCGAAACCTAGCGGAAAATATGTCCGTATTTGTTTTATATTTTAGAAGGCAACTAATCAATTCAAATCCTTAATATCAACAGGAAAATTTAAACTATATCAACCCCACTGCGCAAGGTGGTGGATGTCTTAACTCAGAGAACAATGTGTTAGCTGTTTGAAGCGAAAGGTACTAGATTCGGGTTCAAGTGTGAACATCAATACTTAGATGGTGGCATATCCAGCTGAAGAACCCCCAAAATGTATGAAATCCAACTCCTAAATATTACTTCTAGTCCTAACCCAACTCTACATAGAAATCATTTCCATATTTTAATGTATATTTACAGTGAAGAAAGAGACATTGAAAACTAAAAATCACCGGACAGTTGTTTCTGATTTTTTCGGCAGAGAATGGGTATTCATTAACTACAATTAAAGGTTTTTCAAGAGCGGTTCAAGGTATTATATTTTATAACAAAAAAGGACTTACAGATTGACGACGTATCTACATGGTATTTTTGGTCATTGATAAGTATGTGAAAATCAGAAGTAAGTAGATCGGAAATCGAATTTGATTTTGCGATCCTCGTCCCATCTGTGAATTTGTAAATAACATCATTCACACATCAGTTATGAAGGATTATCCTATCGGAGGTGGTATGTCTGATAGATAAAGAATATTGCATAGCATTTTGTTCAATGTAACTTTATAAATGCTAAAAATGGTCTATGAAGGTAGAAAATATACAAAGGTTGGAGTATCTGATCATGGATGGTATCAAATAGTGTGTTTCAGCCCGTGTCAATAATACTGCGGTTATGCAACGAGCACTAAGCAGGAAGCATAAATCCTTTGATGTGGCTATGAATTTTTACAGGGACATGCTGTAGATTCTAAGCAACACCTTACACTTATAATCCTGTCTCGGATAAGATTAGACTGAGAAACGTAATGATTACCAATCCAAAATATATCATAATTCCATAAAATCATCTGTTTTCACACTGAGTCGGGCTGGGAAGTTCAGACTTCAGAGTTTGGGTTTGAGCGATAATCAAATTTTATGCCTGGAGCCCTTAGGTGAAACGGTCTGAAAATAGCCACACTGATGCAAGTGTATTAGTTATTCATCTTCCTTTAAATCTTGAATTCAAATAGTAACTCATGTATTTTATCCCTTAATATTATTTTTCTTCAGAATCATATTTTCCATGTATAGCTCACTACTGCTGTCATTATAATAATTTTGACTTATTTGATTTCTATTTTGTTAATCTTCTTTATCTGGACTTATATGTTGAATGGTAATTTCAGTCGATGAACAGATATACCACATACTACTTTGTTTGTAGCGGTGATGTTTTACTGTTTTATAAACTAACTACAACTAGTGATACTTTACAGAAAAGAGAAGTTGTAGACGGACTCTAGAAACTACTCCCTACCTATAAATCCATATATATACAACACAAAAAATGAATCCAAAGTTCTAAATTTTTGTTTGAGAAACGATACATTGCGTACAACGTCTGAGCATCAAATGTTTGAACTTGACATATTAGAATATATATTCGACAAAAAGCACCTAATATTTTTTCAGGGGTTGTAAACGTCTCAATAAAAAATAATCTGAATAATATAGCCCTTTTTCCAGGAATGCTATTATTATTTACTTAGATGACCACAGGGATCTTTAAATATTATTTTAAGTTCATTTTAATCATGAAACGATATTATGTGGAGTGCCTTTTGGGACCAGGTAGCATTGATAGGCCATTTTTTAGTTTACAACTGCTCAGTGGTACGCGTCAATAACTCGTGGAGCCAACTTACATACGGATGGCACAATGTGATGGTTGCACTACATCCTACACTGAAGGTATTGGGATCTCCTTTATGTCGGGTTGTGGATGAGCACTTTTAAACGGGTATAATCCAGGACTGAATATTTTTTTTAGGGTTAGCTGGCTTTCAGTAGTTCCAGGATTGATAACACTCCGTGCTGAAAACAACTGTCATTACCAATAGTTTACCAGAGAAAACATACGTGGGATAGGTCGTACTTTGTTTCTGTTTACTAGACATATTCAAAACGGTCTTACTAACAATCTAGCCTATAGATTTATCAATTTTCAAGTGGTATTTCAAATCGATCTTTGTAAATATTCCTTTCAGTTGAAACTAAATCAATACGTCAATCTTCAATCACTAACAATGATAAATTTTGACTGCATTTCGTTATACACATTTTCCAGTAGTATAATTTCGAAAAATAAACGTGATTTCAAAAGTTGTGCTAATTAACAGACAACTAATAGTGATAAATATATAGTGTAGGTCACTCTAAGAAATCGACATAGAACACTTACTTCATGATGCAATAGTAATTATAATACCACTGAAAACCTTATAACTCTAAGCTGGTACAAAATAACGTTAAGTTTCCGAACTGATGGATATATGTAGAGGAATGATGAAGTGTACAACATAACATAATAATATCTGAATGTTACTGATTCTCTCTCTATATATACATATATATAAAGGACTATCCATTGTGTAGACAAAACTGAGTATCGGTTTCTCTAGTGAGATGAAAATACAATACTCGAACTTGATGACTGAATAGTGGTAACACAGTTGTTCTGTGTTCTATCTACGAAAGTATTGGAGGTATTCAGTGGTATGCAATGATGAAAAACACTTTTAAAAGTACTGAGTGGTTTTAGCATATTTAGTTAAGATTGATTTATAATCGTTACCTACAGCCGACGCCTTTTCCATTTCTTTTGCTTTCGTTGCCCACCACTACTCAGCTTCGTTCCTTAGACTTTTGCTTAACCCAGATCTGATTTGCTTTAGCTCTTCATCGTGTCCAGAGCCTGATGGGGGGATGATTTTACAATAATTCATCAGTCCAATAGACGTAGAAGAAATGTATTGGTTTTTCGTAACCCTGTGGTTTAAATCACTGATAGATGTCACTGCTGTTTACATAGCTGTTTGTATATCTTTCCAAGCAACATCTGGGTCAGACTCGTTTTCAGAACTACCTAAGTGCGACCTCAGTTATTCTTGGAACCTAATTTTGGTTTTTTCATTACTCAATTCAATTCCAATGGGTCTTTTAAGTGTGGCTTTTCTGCGTTCGGTGAGGCGCAAGCAGATGCGTGCCCATATTAGAGCATGGTCGGAGTCCAAGCAGGTATTCCAGAATGAGCGACAATCTCCTATCGGCCCTGTCCAACGATGACTGATGGGAATATGGTCTATCTGATTCCATCATTGGTTTGGTGCGGGGGGCCATCATGTTAAACGATGTCTGTCCTTATGCTTATAATTAGTGTTTGCTAAAAATAAACAACTGTCTGAGCACAGTTGCAGCAGACAGTCACCATTAACTGTTCGCTGAGCCGGAATACCAAAATACCCACTCAAATGTCTTTCTGTTTGGTTTAAGCTACCTACCTGGGCATTAAAGTCACCTGCTACGAGTACTATGTCTGAACGTTTAGCCTTCTGGAAAAATTCAGAAAGCTTTCTGTAAAAGTCATCTTTCACTTCATCCGGGCTGCAGTCAGTGGGAGCGTAGGCAGAAACAACGAAAAGGCGACGACGTGTGCCCCTATTCTTCCGAGTTCTTACGGAGCCGTTTAGCCGAACAGCACATAGACGACTGTTAGCGCGGATCCGCTCTAATAGTGCTTGTTCTGCCCTCGTACTTGGTGCTATGCCTACACATGCAAGTCCATGAGAACTTACCGTCGGGTCGGCAGATAGACGGAGGGTGTATCTCATCAGCTCCTCATTTTGGCGAGGTGAGGTTAAGTGAATGACCACACTAGGATTCTGTAGGCGTGTTTCAGAGACACAGCATACATCAATGGTACGAGATTCTAGAGTTTTAGCCAATGAGGACTGCTGACCGATTTGACATAGGGTGAGTACGTTGAAGGCTCTAATGTGTAGTTTGGAGCGAGGTTTCGGTAGACCAGAGACAATGTTTTGAGCATTAGAATCGTTGGCTATGGTGACACTTGAGGAGGAAGCCAAAAGAAGAAGTTTAGTGTTGAGAGTCGATGTAGAACGAAAAATAGGAAATGAAGAGGAAGGTTGATTGTGAATACAGTGATCTTGAGTGTTGTTAGAGACATGAGGGTGGTTATCATTTCCTGCTTTCCCACATAGTGGAAGGGTTCTTCTGGAGGTACCTGGAAAAGAAGTTGGATTAAAGGTGCTCTTAGTGGCCTGAGAGCGTGACCGCAGTGCCCAAGGGACAACTGCTTGAGGTCGGTCACACACAACCTTTTTGTGGGTAATTTTCGTGTTAGCTCCGTACGTGTTGAGACCTTACCGCCGGAGACGGATATCCATGGGATAAGGAGAGGTGTGCATTTTTAAGGTCGACCTTTTCTAACCCCACCCCTCCTTGTGGGAAGATAGCATCGCTGTTATGTTGGTTGTCTGAAGGAAACACCTTACTGCCGTCACACCTCTGTACAGCCAGCAGTACGACTTCGCCCTCAGACCTTGGGTTTTCTGCTTTTAGTCTTATCTCTCTTCAACCGACCTGTTTGGCATGGTAGGACCTTGAGGAACAATTGTTCCAGACAGTATAGCTCGATTGGTTCATCACTATAGGTAAGTCCGACCACCACGTCAAGGTAGCAAAAACGGTCGGGCGTAGGTGTATACACTCTTTGTCTTTCTTTAAACTATGAAATTAAAATCGTTTCATATCTTTCTTTCTACAAACTAATTCTCTCTTCCTGTACTATATCCTTATATGCAATCTTTCTTTTATATATTACCACCACTGAATTAACTACTATGACTTCGGTGTTCATCTTGTTGTGCCAATGAGGTATGGCAACTTAGACCGATGCACATATGTGCATGATTTCACGTTGTAGATGACTGACTGATTGATTTATAATTTATCATTTGAAGTACAACTGGTATATATATATCATCCATAAAATATTAGTTTAATTTTCGACCCATCTTTTTATATCAAAATATGAAGTCGCTGACAACTAAACTGGGATGATACACTCATTACTGTATAATAAAACGTTTTTGACTAGAGTACGGTATGCTACATAACATAAATTCCATTTTTATGACGTACCACTAATTAATCGTTTGGTTTTAATATTCAAAATCTCAAGAACTTGTTGGCTCGTTTTCCGTAGTTCGTATCTCAAAGTTTGCTTAAGTTCCTGATTCTGGCTAAGAAATTTTATCCCTTTCAGAAATGTGCAGTTTATCATGCTTTATTCTTTCTTTGGACAGTTAGAACATAGTAAATTTATAAGACAGAGTATTGACTGGGACACCTGATGTTCAGTCCTCATTTCCCAGATCTCCGATTCTCAGTCACCAAGTATTCAGACACAGCTCACTGTTTGGTTTGTGATTAGGTTAAAGTAGCCATTACGGAATTAAGATTGAATCAAAATATTAAGACCACAGAATACCTTAAAATAATGCACATTGGAACTCTAATACCCTAAAGAATTCCAAAACGAGATCAAAGATGATCTAAAATGAAAGTTATCTCTAGCTTTGACACGAAAAAATCAGTCTTGCTT